TGCTTAAGGATGTGATGTGCCATTTGGATTTCTCATAGGAAAGCTACCTTTAAGATCGACTTCCAGAAAAGGTCCGGCACTGTCGCTGTCAAAGACATAAAAAAGCACGACTGGTCAAGCTACATGGAAAAAATATTGGTGATAATCCATAATATGAAAGGCAAGCAAGATCCTAGCAATTTTTTCCTACTGAAGAGGAAGAAAACTTCTAACGTAGGAAAACTTCTTATGAAGTAGGTCGAATCCCAATGCAGCAATATCTGTCTTCAGTTCTTTAATTTTCTCAAAGAGAATGACGACTGGATGTGACATTAATCGTCGAAATATTATAGATATTACCACCAGAGTATTAATCTGAACTCAAACGAAGTCGACCATAATTTCACAGGAATCGTGATCAAGGTAACCGACAATTTGGAAAACTACACTGCACACCTATATAACGAAAAGCTATGTTCAACGGTAATTTTTCGGCTTGATAAGTGTTTTTGGATCCACTATGAGGTCACAGATGCTAGGAAATGGGACCAAGCCTCGCAGCATTGTTGGATTGCACATTGGTCTTTACGAATTCCCAGGATCCAAACGCGAACCCTTTCTGGTCAACATTCTGAGACCCGTGGATCGGTGCGTAAGCTTCCAACGAGTATTACAAACGGTGGAATTCTCATCAAGTCGCGCTACACGATGAGCAGCCGAGAAATTTGCACGGCGGCGTTGAATGGGTGGCGTCGTCTCGTCTTGGCCAGGCCGATGACATCGGGCCTTATCCTTTTTCGTTTGCATGAGCAAGTCTTCTATCCAGGACTCGAATACAGGTGGGCGTGCATTGTAGGTACAGACCGTCACCATAGTTCTTTGTAATCCAGGTAGCTTCCATTGGCCCTGAGATTTTAGCAGCCTCTTCGTACTTGTTCTACCCAACGTTGCGAAGTTGGGGTCTTTAGGAGTCAGGAGAATGAGGACCGTTTTTTTTTGCTGTGTTTAGAGTTTTGATACCCTCGTATAGCTTGCTGGGCTCTAAACTTGAGTAATTTTCTTCGTATTTTTGTTGAGCAAACGCGAGGTGTTACTATTCTTTGTTCACGATTAAGCTGACGTTTCGGCGGATTTCGCCTTCCTCAGAGCCGCTTCCTATGAGGTTTCCACTAAGTATGTCACGTAGAGACCAACCGCACAGAAATCACAAGGAAGTATAATGTCTTAACTAAACTAAACTGAACTAAACTTGAAGGCTGGGTATACTCAAGAGTAGCTTGCCAGGCTCTCCCTGAGTGGACATGAAACTCATTTGTTGGAGGCGACACCTAACCGCTTCCCATATGCTTCCCTGTCACTTGATTGCAGGCTTTTGGCCGAATCGACTCGTAGAACACAATCCGCATAAGCAAGAGTGCACCCACACACGCATGCATGAATACGCCTCTCAAATACTGAAAGTATGTGCCAAATCGGTGCAGCAGAAACAGGGAGTCCATATCCTAGATCCACCTGCGTCTCAGGAAAGCAAAGGTCGCTTTTGGTCCGCGATTAACCCCCTATCCGCCACCTAGGGACGCGCTATGCAGCCTCGCTACTAACCGGCTCGAGATCCCTTATATGAGGGAGATCCGTGGACCTGTCACCTGTAGCAAGTGTAAATTCGTTACTCATTAAATGACATAGAGTACACCACCAACCCATTCATTTGTTTCCATCGTCCGACGGAGTTGTTCAGTAGTTCCTAAAGCTCATGATGGACACCATATATGCTTCTCTCTATTTTTACTGTTTCTGACAATAGGTTAATTACAGACTTATTCTTTCTAATTTTACCAACTGTCTCTGCTGAGTTAATACGTGGTTCTTGCCAGGTGTTAATGAAGGACTTGTCTACCATGTTTTTTTCCATGATCTGTCTTTCACATTTACTGTGCAGATCCCAGTATTTCTCGTACTAGATTGGTTTCCTCGCATGCATCATCTACAGAGATTTTCCAAACTTTTACGCACGGCTTCGGTTGCTGCTTGAGGAATTTCCTTTCGTCATGAATGATGCTGAATGCTGGTCTAGTTTTTTTTTCCTGCACTCCTGAAATCTCCGTGCTGAAGCGTTCCCACTTGGATTATAGAAAGTGGTGGTTAGTCCTGAGCGGGATCAAACCGGCACCATACTCGCGATGATCGGCATCACTACCATTGTATTATCCACTGCAGTTCTTGAGTTGCGTGAATGTGAACATTTGTAAATGCCCCATCCGGCACATAAGAGAGGATCTAATCCAATGATTTTACCTACATCTTAGAATAGGTCAATTTGCCTCAAGCGTTTAACTCCCTGTTCGAAACTTGAGAACGTTCTATACAGCATTACCTGATTCCTCCCATACGGAGAAGATCCGTGGTTTGAGCAGCGATAAGGTGGGACGCCGAAGTATAGAACCAAGGGTAATGTTCTCACGAATGACGTTCTATTGCATCCCACTAGGTGACTTAGTCAATTGATTAGTTTATAAAAGTCAGTCTTTAATTTATAATTACTCATGGATCCATAAACATTCACGTGATCAGAAAGCGCTGTGATATAAAGACGAATAGCACGCAGACCAAGAATCGATCATGACTGAAAGTATAACTGGTTAAAGGGATTCACTGAAACCAAGTAGTAACTGCTTCAGTTTTTTAGATTAACTAAAGATTTTGATCCACTTTGAATAAAGATAACATCTTAACTGACAGGTTTTCTACCAAGTTTCGCAATCACTATATCTTTATACACGACAGTCTATTGTAATTGCTGTACCGTGAACAAGTCAAAATCGTAGTGGGACCTTATTAATCGCCAAGCTTCCCACTGGAAAATTCTAAATGCACCATCAGCCTATGAGGTGAGTGCTTGTGTAGTTAAAACATAGAATGATGCATAATTTTCAGCGTAGGTGCTATGAGGAGTAGAAACTTATACCCTTCATTTTGCCTTAATGGAGAGCACTTTTTTGCTATAATTCCTGTTCTATAACCCGATTTTTCCATGCAGTTTTGCGTTTGTTTCTGCCGTTATTTATGTTCCACATATTCCTTTATGTGCTTTTTAATGCTACTAGAACGTATTCAACTGTGCTTTTAAATGAAAAAATTTACAACCTCTGAGAAGTAAAAAAGGATAAACCCCTTGGCGTTGATCAATCGCTGAGGGATGCGCCATGCATTCCACTTCACTAAGCATCGTTTGGAGGTGATTGAATGCATATTTGGCCTTTATAATGACTTGCGGTAGCCTACCAATGTATCGAGCCAGTGCTACTATCCTCCCAGACAAGTTTGGTATAGCAACTATTGCCAGAATAGTTACTATTCATTCATCATATCGTAGATCTGTGGCGACCATATTCGTGGCCTATAGCATCGCTTTGCGATCTTGCAGTATGTAAACGGTTTCACTTCGTTGTGAGAAACTTTGGTTGTCGTAAACATCCTTTGTGAAACACCCTTTCCATACAATCGGAACCCTTTGTGTGTTGCATCTGTTCCAAACCATCACGGGTACGGTAACACAAAGGGGCTTGAAGCTGTCCGGCAAACCGTCCTCAGTCATCTGATCACAGAGGAGCTGGAGACACAAACTGATAGGTGTTTTCGGTAAAGGTTCTGGACTTGTACGAAAGCACTTCCTCCTCCAGAAGATATTCAAAGAGCCCTGTGCGTCAATACCGTATTCGCACCCCTGTTCATGATGTGTAATGCGCCTTGTAGTCAATCCAAAGTGTTATCTCTTGTTGTATCTGGTAAGTGTTGTATATTAACATTGCTGTCATGTAGCTCTGTACCTATAGCAAAGATACTAACCCGCATTACCCTCATTTATTGATCATGATACAATATTGCAGTCTGTATTGTACCAATGTTTACATTTCGTTATTTCTGAATTATTATTGTTATAAATGGTTTGATTAGCTAAGTTTGAGATATTGCTCTGTGACAAGCACGAAAAAGTCCCGCGTGGCAACTTCTACGAAGTCGAGCATCCTACTCAAAGCTAGTCACCACAAGGTGCCGAGAACTGACTCGAAGACCTAATTTCCACTAGCAACTGCTATACTTGGTACCAATTTTCCAACCTCGGAGGGATGGAAGGGTTGATGGGCCATGGGCGCGGGGATCAATTCCACGTCTGTGCGACGGGGCGCATCCGACCACTACGCCACACGTATCCTTTGAGAAGTATGTTCCAGTGTTTTTGGACGTTTTGTAAATTCACCGATTCCATACAATTACTTCGAATCACTATAATTATTAGAAGTGAAGAAATATTCCCTAGTGGAATATCAAATTGTATAGGCTTGGTTCGTGCCGGCAACGGACGAATAATCTTTCATTTCTCTTCAGATCAAATATGTTTACGTAATGCTTCATTTATAATATTAATCTTTTGGGACTACGAGCGATGAAGCGTTTACATTAGCTGAGCTGTCGAATGAATTCAAAATGTTAATGCGTCATTTTCTTGTTCAGCAATCGCGAGGTTGTTAAACAGCATACATTTACTTCTATAGAAAAACACAATACAGTACAACAGTAGCTGACGCTTCGGCGGAATCGCCTTCTTCAGAGCCTGGAAGGGTATACTGAGATGCAATTTACTAGGCTAAACGCTCCAATAACACTTACAAAAAGACGAAAAATTATGGTAATTACATGATCAACAGCTTCTTAAAAACTCACCGCTTTTTTCGTGACTTCCAAGGAGGAAGTTTAGAATACGATTATAGTCGCATATGGTTGATGACTGCACCATCCCACATCTGAAATTGATGCGAACATACAGAGTCAGGTCGCGTGTAACCTCTGGGCATTCCTCCCTGCTATTCCAGCCGTTCAGAGTATACCCTTCTAGGCTCTGAAGAAGGCGATACTGCCGAAACGTCAGCTACTGTTGTATTGTATTGTGTTTTTTATGGATGTAAATCCATGCTGTATAACAACCTCACGATTGCTGAACAAGAAAATGACGCGTTCATACTCCTATGCCGAGAAAAGTCCATAGAAAGTCGATCCTGGGAACAAAATGTTAACTTTTCATTTTCTTCCTGCTAAAAGTTTTCACGGTACAGTGTTATGTCAAATACAACTTTGATTATATTATGTCGACTACAAAATATTCTGCAAGAAAAAGACTCCATGTGGCAAAATGTTCAACTGAAAGAAGGAAAAATCACATATGGTTTGCGTCATTCAATGTGTTCCGAAGCACATTTGACCCATGCGGACTCAACAGGTTAAAGCATCAATTGAATGAAATATGAGAAAAAACATTTTGCCTTACGTTTCAAGATTTTGCTCTCAGGGTCCTCGAACATGACAGCGAATACAAACAGAAACGAGACGATCGACCATGCACCTGTAAGCACCATAGGACAACATCTCCAAACTTCCGATTTACTAGTATCTCACTTCATAGTTAAATTTATCATTTTACTACTGCGCCACGTGTGGAGTCGATCCTTCCAGCCATGGCCCAGCAAGCCTTCCGTCCCTTCGGGGTCGGTAAATTGACACCAGGTTTGTCTGGAAGGATAGCAGCACAGGCCCGAAACATCGATAGGCCACCTCGAGTCATTGTAAAAGCCAGATATGCGTTCAATCGCTTCCAACGATGCTTAATGAAGTCAAATGCATGGCGCATCCTTCATGGATTGATCAACGCCGAGAGCTTTATCCTTTATTAACACTCTTTAGTTATCGCTTGAGCAATGTATCTCACTTTTCAAAAGCAATATGTCCGATTCGGGTATACGGATATACAATATACGACTATTGTTTTCATAATTTCACATTCATGGACTCATAAAGCTTTCATTTACAGATCCATCAGA